CATTTTGATCGAAAATCAATATGGCGTTTTATTTTTTAATTTTTTAATATCTACAGAATATTTCTCTTACAATTCTGATAGACCATGGCAGCATTCTTCTTATAATTATTAAACAAATATATATCTCCAGCTTATGACCCAGCATCATAGCCCATATTCTAGAAATGAATAATTACATAATTAACATAACATCGTGAAGTTCTTTTGAAAGTAAAAGTCTGCGAGATTCTGTCTGAAAAAAGGCAAAAGAGTCCGAGATTTTTATGACTAAAATTAAGACGAATTTCACGGTGGAGACTGAGAGAAATAAACAGTTCGTAAGAAACTTAATTTTTGTACGGGTATGCTCAATTTTAAATTGCATACATTCGTGAAACTAAATTGCATATCACTGAGCTTAATCACTACCATTTTATCACAATTTTTACAATATTTTGAAGTTTTCATTGACACTGAATTATATGTTTCGACCAAATTAGTCATCGCCAGATTCGTTACATTTCATTTGAGTCACTGTACATTTCCAATGCAAATAATGATTACCAATACAAAATATTATTTTTTTAAAAAAATTTCGACGTCACAGTGCGTTCACTGATAAAGTTTAACGTAACTGTCACATTGGCAAGTTCCTACCGGGACCGGCAAGTGACATTTGCGTTCAACTTTATCAGTGAACGCAATGCAGAATAACAGATAAAATAATCTTCTGGTAGTATGTTTTAATAATTAGTATCAAGTGAACTCGTTAAAATCGTGGTGGCAAAATGGTAGAATCTACGGCGGAGTAGAGTCGGTGTTGTATAGATGTCTCTGTTGTTTCTATAAATCGAAATACAATAAACTTATGCAATATGGAGTTAAATGTTTTAAAGTAATTCTTACCAGTATTTTTGCTGTGTTGTTTGTTCAGTGTTTTAGTAGCCTATGAACCGTGGTGTAGAACTACTTATGTTTGGGTTATACCGAATGAAAGGGGTGAAGAGAGTAGTATGTGCTGCTATCTATCAGGAGAATTTTGGTATATTGCTTCTAAAATCCGGTTATAGTAACACGCATTCATTCAAGTGTCTGTCTTTTACTGATTCAAAATACGTGGTATCTTTTTACACTGTTTAGAAGCCACACCCAAACACAGGTAAAATACGGTATCATATTGTATTAAAATATTGTATAAAATATATTTTGATGTCATTCTGCCTTAGATTCCGCCATTTTACCACCAACGTATTAATGAGTACACAAGATATTAATTTTTTAAAAATATCGCCGGCGAATTATTATATCTATTTTTCTACCATCACAATTTTACATTTTAACGCTATATAGTAATCATCATTATTTTCAATTAAAACGTGCAGTGACTTACGTACAATATAACGAAAATAATAATGGTTAATTTTAATCGAAACGTGTATTTCGAAATCAATGAACACTCGAAAAATGTCAAGAGTGTGCAGTACATACACTTAAATCCTACTCTACAGAAAAGTAAATTTATTAATTCCTTTTCAAAGAAGATATAAAGAACTGATATTTTCAGAAAAGACAGTATTTTAAAATAAAATTGATGAAAAACTCATAGGAGAATTTTATATGAATGCACAGTTTCTTAACTCATAGGAGAATTTTATATGAATGCAAAGTCTCTTCAACTTTATCATTCGTCACTGCGAAATAAATAACGTAACTCTCTTCCTATACAGGAAGAACAAAATTAAAAATGTATTGGACGATATGGGCCTCAAAACATAAGAAGGTAAACCTGACAGCGATGCAAGAATCGATGTTAAGTTGTTTAGTCGATTAGTACGTTTAGTTGGGCGTCAGAATACTATTTGGTGCATGAACCCAGAAGATACACCTAAATTACGTATTTTAAGAGATCTACAATGAAAGTATTTTCTAATTTATTGCCACTTAATTAAGAAAAACTTCTTAATATGTGTGAAGAAACAGCGTGAAATCAAATTTAGAAGTGTAAGAAGACTGAGAAATATAAGAAATGATTTATCTGAGAGGAATGTTTCGGATGTAAAAATCATTAAAACTAATCGTCAGACCAGAATTAGGAACACTGGCATAAATTCCTGTTAAAGGCTGAAAATTTAATGATTTTATCAACATTCCTTTAAATACGAGAAATTAAACATTTGAAGGACAGTTTAAGACAGAAAACCTATTAATATGACTTTCAATAATATTAAAATTGTGTCATACTCACATTTTGATAATTGAGAACATATTCAAAATTTATCAAAAGTTTCTTAAACAAATTAAAGACTTTGAAGACTCGCATAAGACAAAATCCCAAATACCTAACATTATTTGTAGTATTCTTGAAAACTAGTAATTTATTTTGACGACCGCGAAGATATTTAAAAATTATTTGACTGCTGTCAGGAGCGTGGGATAAATTCTACTCCAAAATATTACAGTTATATCAATGACTGTTAGAGTACAAATATGTATTTTCTCACTAAGCAGTGAGTGAATCTGCGTTAATGAACATTATACAAACGTTAGCAGTCTACTTAATTTTCTACTCGAATTAATATTATCATTACAAAATGTTGCTCATTGTCTTCACTCTTAAATTCTTCATAGAATTTCCGTGGACACATTCTACCGCTGATTCGGAAACTCAGAGATCAATCATAATCTTTGGTTTGACGTGTCCCTTCCCACTCTATGTTAAAATCAAAATTATTCAAATATTCGAAATTGACAACTTATTGAAACCCCTCAGAAAGCTCCTGACAATGTATTTATATATCAGAAGTTCCGCTCTGTTCTGGAATAATTCAAATTCATAACTTATTCACAAAATCATTAGGATTCTTCGGTGATAATATAAAACTTTACGAAATAAAATATTCTTTCTCTGTGACTACAGTAGTCATTCTTTGTAACTGGTTTAAGAAAGAATTAAGCAATGTATTTTTTCACAAATTAATGTATTTATAATTTCATCACGTATCTTCATATTATTCCTAATTAATTACGCCTAAACTCCATTCTGTCATCATTTCTTTCTTTCTTTGACTTTCCCTCTTTCCAGACAGCTAAAATTGTAACTGAAATATATTAGTAATACTCAGTTTGAAGAAATATAAGGATTTGAAATTTAATAAAAAAATCGGCCACAAATTATGTAATGAGACGAAAGGCGAATGATACCGTTAACATGTAAAATGCAATATTCTAACAGTAAACCTTCAACTACACGAAAACAATGGATGTCGAGATAAGACACTTTGACGCTGTGAAACTTTCGTCTCCGGCCAATAGGTTTGAAGGATGGAGTACAACATTCTCTAGATGACTCATCATACACAATTTTTGAGACTTTGAATAAGTGAATGTTGAACATGTTAAGTAACATCTGGTACTTTTTCACTTCATAAGAGGCAGCCATGAAGACAAATTATCTATTATTTTATAGAATAAAACACCTACACTTAAAATCAACGCCAACACATATTTTCAAACCACGTTAACTCTAATTGCACCGTAGTTCAAAAGGTTAATTGTTATTTAATTTACACTAAATTTCATACTTAATTGAAATATTCTCTGTGGTTCTTAAATTAATTGGTATGACGTAATATCTGAGACTGCTATTGTTGATGATAATTGGTGGTATCATTAAAGTTTTTCCTTCATCAATAATGAGAAGGTGTTTCGTAACATCAGATTGTGTTTTGTTCGTGATCTGAGTCTCAAAATAATAGAATAACCTTGATCATTGGTCCCAGATAAGGCGAGAACCGGTCACTTTCAGCTCATGGTTACCTCATAAACGTCAGACTGTAAAGTGCAGAGTGAATTTATATTGTTTATATCTGAAAATAAATTATTCATGGCGTGTCCGTGTTGGCTTAAGGAACCAACTATGGAAAGGGTTCAGAAAGGAAAATACTCTTACTCCATGGTACGCTCAAGGTCGTACGTAGACATTTCCGGACAAATATTTCAATATAGTCTGACTACTAAATGAATTAATGGGACATAATTAACGATTTACTTCAAATTAAATTATGTATAGCTTCTATTATTCCAGTAAGCCTTTGTACTATTTTTTTCGTAGAAATCATGGATTTATTTCAAGGTGATTTTTTTATCTACGATAACTATCTTATTTTACACAATATTTCACAGCATTATATAGAAGGCTGTAATATTTCAGTGTAGTAATTTATTAATGGCTATGCATTTTGCAAGAAACACTCTTATTGTTAAATGCCATATTATAAAATGTATATATTTATTTATTTACGTATACTCACACATATGTATCCATATATAATCATCTATACGACTGTGTAAAACGGCTTTGCTCAGAAGCATTTATAGACGAACTAACTTTATGGATAAATGTTATTTTCTCGGCAAAATTCCCGTCCCTTAATTCATGTTTAGTAAAACTTACAAATATGAACACCACTTAAGCAGATCGCCATCTGTATCCGTATTTCTGAGTCACATAGTTGGATGGATGCTAAATGCAAATGGAGAACCCATAAGCGACCAACTGTCACGAGTGACAGCCATGTTTAATTTACAAGCTGTCGTGCACAGTGACGTGGAAATACATAGGCCTAATTTAGACGATTTTTAACTAATCAAACCATAGACTACAGATCTTAACAAAAGACTGAAGAAAATTATATCATGATGACTTTGATATAATTTGTACATTTTACCAATACACTATTGTTAAAGTGATTAAACAAGAATTCAGGTTTAACATGATGAAGTACTCGAAATCTTAGTCGAAATCTTTACGGAAAGAGATCAGTCAGGAGACGAATGCGCAACCAAAATGAAAGAATTAAAATGAACTTTGGAAAAATGAGGCGAAATCAAGTGGATTGGCTAAAATATTGTCAAATGGGGGACTTTAGTAGACACGGTAATGAACATTCAATTTTCATAAAGGCAGTGTTATCAGTTTTTAGTGAAGAACCTGTAGCACGGACCTGAAAATATGATCTTACCGTAAGTCCATCCGACATATTCGTTGGTCCTTAGGTTTTCATTTCGTAGCCAGTCCTCTAGAGGGCGGAAGTATTCTCGAATGTGACTTCCGTTTAGCCTGGTCTCCCCTGTGGCTTTATACAGCGCCTCGGTCCATGGCACGGACGACCCCAAACTCATCATATCTCTGTAAATAATCAAACAATGACATATTACGTCGAAAGATTTTATTGTGTTAGTCGGGTTCGATTCCCGGCGGTGCCCGAATTTATAACTTGTGTTGGGCAAGGCCGTGGTCTAGGCAACACGGAGTTTTCCTACGGGGGCTTCCCCGGTTTCTCCGTGGCATCCCAACAATTACTCCATTCACACACAGAAGAAGGCAATGGCAAACCACTTCTGGATCATCTGCCAAGAACGTATATGAACAGGTCCCAGTCCGAGAAAAGGATGGAAGGATCCTGTTCATATGGACCTGTCGTCAGACAGAACACTAAATAAATAAATAGTATATATCTGCAGTCTTCTGAATTAACAGAGAATAAATACGAGAGAAATTCGTTTAACACACGACAGAAAATTTTACTGAACAAAAGTTTCCAGACAATGAAATTATTACAGAAATGAAATGTGTACGTTATCTCGGTTTAAAAGTTGCAGACCGTTAAAATAAATAATTATGTTTCCATATCGAATTTCACTATTCTTTCCTAGGCTAAGCACTAACATATTTTTGTTCAAAGGTATTTCAGGCCTTTTGTGAACCTGTAGTCATTTATAAGGCTGACACGTTGAAATTAATTGTATACGTGAGAATGAAAGGTCATTCGTCATGTAAATCACACTTTTTCAAAAGTAGATAAAGCTGTTTACAATGTTTAAATGAGTTAAAAAATCGACTAACACTGTTTCTCAAACCGTAGTTAATTAGACATATATTTAAATTGTGTAACCATGGTTTATTTATGTGTTGGTAGCCTAAATAATATTTTTCGTCTTTGACATTCGCCATTTTGACACTTTTTGTCAATGTAAGTAATTTAGAGTAAAAAGAAGTCCATAGTTACTTAGAAAAATGCTATATAATTTGTCAAAATTACTATAAAAAGTTTTAAGTTTAAGTCCTCTTTGTTAAAACATAAATTTAAAAATCTTGGTATATCTACGAAATTCTTGAAACAAGTTTGTTGCCTGTATTTGAAATATGCCATCAGGGATTTAGTTTCTGTATGAACTGTAACATGTAAAAGATTTCAACTTATTTGTTGTTAAAATGTCGTAGTGTAATTTAATCTTTACAACAGGAACTTTTTCTGACACTCCACATTCATAAATACAGCTAAGTTTTAAAAAGCAATGAAAATTTTATATTGTGGCAAACGTAATACTGTCAGTACTGAGAAGTTAGGCGGAATATGAACATTCTCTCATTTGAATGTAACTGTGTTCACTGTCTTTTGAGGAATAATTAGCCTGTGACAGGTTTAACACGAAAAAACAACTGCTGTTAATTACGCATTTACCTTAGTATATATTTACAGGAATCGTAATTCTTATGTGACTTCTGTATACTAAAAAGTCATGACTCATTATCATATATTGGGAAATGTATTTGTCGGAAAAATATCGATTCTGTGGGATTTCTGTACTCGAACGGCTTTTGAATTTTATGGATCTTTCTGGATCTATAACATTACGCAGAGATCTTAGTCGCATACAATTAAAAACGTATTTCTTATCGATTATTTGTTTATTTTAAAACAATTTTTCAACTGCATAAGAAAGTATATCGACGACTGGTAAGTAGAATTTCTAAAGGCGAATTATAATGAATGTGAAACGAAGTGGTCTTCAGATATTTGAAGTTGTGATTTCGGTACTTGTTAAAGTGTGTGTAGGGACTTAGAAAACTCATGAAAAATCTCGATGAGGAATGTCAGTTTTTGATCCGGGACTTGAACCCAGTAACTTCGCCCTGATGATGGAGGCAGCAAGGACCTCTGAAACGTCAGGAAATTACCAGACTACACGGCGTAACAACCCAGAAGACAGCCATCTTAAGGTCTGCATATGGTAATAAGGGGGTAATTTGTAGTGAGAATTCAACACAGATGATCCAGCCCACAGCCGACCATTTTACTCATGATTAACATACTGTTTTTTGTTCGACTGTTTTATGATTGAAAGTATTATTATTTTTTTACAGTTAGAAAATGTGTCAGGAATGGGTTACGTGATTCTTCGATCATTCTGTGAAATCGGAAAATTTTAACACTGCGAACACTTATATATTTCTGGTGTGTAACTGTGTGTTGTTTCAGGAACTTCCGCGACAAAGTAAATGCTCTAAACTTGCGGAAGAATTATGTAAGGAAACTGCAGAGCAGGATTCATGACCATGCACTTTCTAAATTAATAATAAAGTTATTTCCTGTTGGCGATTAGCCGCATAATTTTATAGAACCGGTAAGTAATCTGATGATGATAAGGATTTCACACTGCTTCGTATTCGGGAGGTCTCGATTTCATACCTCGGCTCTGAGACCTGACATCATCAATGAGGGTATTTCCTCAGTCCTGACAGACAAATTCCTGAACAAGAAATTAAATTAGACCACGCCTATTTCCATATCCAATCAAATTTATGATTTATTTAACATCTCACGATTCTATACTCTATAGTCTGATATATTGATGGCGTTCCTAAATACTTCAAAAATATATAAATAAATATATAATGAAATACATAAATAAACCCATTGTATAGAAAAATCTGATCTTCATGTAGAAAACCCAACGTTAGGATCAGACCCTACATTAAATACATTTGTTTAGCGTTGACAGTTGTTGTACTTAATTGTTAGGTGACATAATTTTAAGATCGTGTTAAGTAGTACGTCTTGGATAAGTTCGTTTCATGTCAGTAAAGATGCCCGGATTGTATTTGCTTTATTTAAATCGTAAATGGTACATCGCTGTTAATTTAAATATGGGCATACTGGGCTCAAATACGTAGTTGAACAAAACGAAATTAGTGAACAACAAGAGTATGTAAAATGACTGAGAATAACAATAAAGAATCCACAACCATGATCGTATTCGACGATATGTGACGTAGGTAGTTAAGGAAAGGCGATCAGATAAATCATGTAAACAGCACGGATAATTAAATAAATCAGAAACAAGTTACATTTTATAGAGCGGCCACTTCAGCGCTGTGACATTCCACTTCAGGAGGCGGACTGGAGGTATTGATAGATGTTCATAGTTCCTCATTAGGTTGGTTGTTCTGAAGAACAACATTGTTCAATGTTGGTAAATTGGCAGTATTGTAAAATTAACAACGTACATTACTAAGAAAGATTACCGAAGATTGTATCTCCTTTCTGTTAAGAATTTAAATTAGAAAGCATGACACAAACCATTAACAGACCAATATTGGACTAAGATAGCTGTCTTCTGGGATGTAACTCCTTGTAATCTGGCAGAAGTTTACCAACGTTTCAAACGACAGCCATCTTCGGAATCACCGCTGTGATAACCTCAAATTTTACCTAATATAAGCCCTGGAATGGAATATAAATAATACGCTGGCCTTGTAATCCTGGGGTTCCGGGTTCGATTCCCGGTGGTGCCCGAATTTATAACTTGTGTTGGGCAAGGCCGTGGTCTAGGCAACACAGAGTTTTCCCCGTGGCATCCCAACAATTACTCCATTCACACACAGAAGAAGGCAATGGCAAACCACTTCTGGATCATCTGCCAAGAACGTATATGAACAGGTCCCAGTCCGAGAAAAGGATGGAAGGATCCTGTTCATATGGACCTGTCGTCAGACAGAACACTAAATAAATAAATAAAATATCCAACTTAACGGTTATCAAACTGGATGGATAAATAATAATTTGTTATATGTTACAAAACAGTGGTATAAGTACCATGAATATTTTATTATAACACGTATATTATTCCGATGCATCTGTTCTTACATCTCAATGTTCTTGTTACAGCTGTCTTTTATCTGTGTTTTACTTTTTCCGAATTTACCTGTGGCCGCCAGTTGAAGTCTGCGCAGGCCGACTTGTTACACTTTTACTCGGCACGTTCACGAAGTTAATCTTCAAAAATGGTACCCTAAATAAGTCCGACTTTCTTTTATTACAGCCCAAATAAAGCCCGATCTATTTTCTATCTGCACTCATTATCGTAGCATTAATAAATTTTTCTTAAATACATAAATGTCAATACTTGGACGAATTCTTTAGTGACTCTAAGAACATCTGGGTCGACTAATGCGTAAGATGAGTCGAACTAGTAATAACCTTTCCTCTGCGAAAATATAATGGCCCGATAAATTCAGAAATGTTTTATTTAACGTTTGAAGTCTATGTATTGACGGGCGTTTCACAGGAGTTTACTGCCTCCATCATCAGAGCGAAGAGTGCTCTTGATTCTGATAATCACTCTCGTCGGTGTAAGAATTTTAAATTTCACCGCCATTTTATTATACCGTTCATTCTATTACATGTTTAGAGATTATAATCCGTCGTTCTTAAATTCTGAAATTGTTTCCTAAGTAGGGATAACCCTGGTATAAAGCGATGATTTTTAAGGGAAAATGGCCGTTACTGATATCTTATTGTCACCTGGCGTTTTAAATTGTGAGAAATCGAAGATCGTTTCTTTCTTGTTTATATGAATATTTCAAAGATTTTTTTTCTGCGTATGGGAATTTTTAAAATAAGTATTCTCTGAAGTCCTTTACTCTGAAAAATTTAACCCAGGGTACTGGGCAAAGTGGAGCCTCTTAAAATATAAAGAAAAGCTCGCATAAACACGCATGAATTTCTTTTAAGGTATGGATCATTCATGATTAAAAATTTTATAGCACTTTTATACCATTTTCTAACAACAATTTGGGGGAATTTTTATTATCTTTAGGACTGTTCACATAGAAGCAATCTCGTATGTAGAAATTTTCTACGACACTTTCTGAGTTAACACCTCCATAAACAAAAATCATATCTGAATTCAGTGCTGGATCTTAGACAGATGTACTTAAAGTTCCTTCATGGGGCCAGTTTGTCCCATTTAAGCATAATTTCGTAAACAGCAGCTTCTAGATAGAAGCCATTTTGCATCACCCTGAAATCCAACAAATGTTTATACCTCAGTCATGAGTCTTTCGAAACCAACAGCTTTAAAAATGTCTCTACCTTACTCATGAAATTTGGAGCTATACAAGGAAAAGATAACCTAACATCAGACCTTGATAAAAGAGTGGATATTTCTGGAAGAGTCTCACGAACATTCACGACCTCTAACTTCCACATACACCGAATAACTGCCTGCAGGTGCTCTCTGGGTACATTCTATCAGCATGACGTAGCACAAACAGAAGAGATACAGCAGGGTTACCAACTTAGACGGGTTTCCACTAAATAAATTTTCTGATTTATTCAATTATTTTCTAGTACTATTTTTAGCCTTCTTATATCATTGCCACAAATTATGATCACTTTTATTTCGATATTAATATTGAACTATGTTTTATACGAAGACTTCACAAACAGATTAAATGTCGTATTTGTCATATGACTGAATTTAATACAATCATTTTGTTGCAATTACTGAAAAATAATTATTCCAACTTTAATAGATGAAGGACGTTTAATATAGTTTTACAGCAATAAAATAAGTCATTGTTTGGGAATGCCAAGTAAAATAACTTTCGCGTTAACGCATTTCAAGAACTAGCTCCCTATTACGAATTTCATTACACATCGCATCAGTCCGTGGGTATCGACCATAATCGAACAGCATCACATCAACATTTTATTATTTCTTTTTTACATTATAATTACTGTATGTTTATTTTAATTAAAACTGTCAGTTCCAAATTAATTACTGCTCCTTACACTCCGATGTCGCGAATGACGTCATTTTGGTGTTAAGTTTCAGAGTTAATCATGAACCCAGGAAGCCTTTAGACATTTGCTAAGGATGATTTGACGGGGAACCATTCCATCGCAATCCCCCTATCAACACAGGAACACGCGGACGTAACTCAAACGGAATTCGAGCCCAGAATAAACATTTTAGTGGTCACAAATTGCACACGCCTCAAACTACATTACCACGCGATCGGAGAGTAAGTATGTAGACATGTAAACGTATAATATATAAACTTTTTTATTTATTTGTATTTGAATACAAATGCACAGAGATAAAAAATATTTATAAATTTATTTTCGTTCAATGTGTATCTGTTTGAGAAACGACACCAAGAAACTACAACTCTTTAATAATGTAAGGAGTTAAGGTAAATTTGGTTTTGTTTAAATTCACGTCGAGTTCTGTCTTTGTATTCAGACTCTGACTCGATGGCGTAACAGCGCGAAGTCGAACCTTGGCCATGTGGGATGTTTCTTTGTGTTTGAAGAGTGCATTTATAAGTAGTGAGTGACAAGCCCACTGTCTCTGCACAATTTCTACTCAATCCTGATTTGTCTACTAGAGCCATCTAGTAGTGAATCAGGAGAGACTTGGGTGAGAAATGTCCGCTGAATTTTGCTTACGAAACATCTCGTATCATGCTCGTAAGGTTCTTTTAGATGCCGTAAATCTACGACATGGGACTTCCCCTCTGAAGAAAGTTGTGCTATGGATTTCTATCACCCTTAAAAATCCATCGACCTCGGCTGGGTTTGATCTCGCGAACCTTGGGTCCAGTAAGCACGCCAACCACTAGTCCACCGAAGGCGACATTTGTATTTAGGCTGAATTAAAAATAAATTTATTGATCATAACCTGTGCTAATAGGGAAGTCGAGGTGTGCTTGTTTAGAAACACGTTACAAACAAGTAGTATCATAAGTTTGGAACGTTTGCTTTACATAATTCCCACTGGAATAGTTTCTGTTGGTACCGTTTTACAGAAATATTCAGCTTTATGGACTCGGATTGAATTCCATATGCGTGAATAAAATCATGTAGAAAGAATAAACAAATGAAAAGAGATCTAAGCAGACGTGATATGAATGATCTTATTTAACTGCTTTACGATTTCCTTCCGACAAATTTCTTTTTTTCTCAACGAAACTCAGCCTAACGCTTTCACATGTCCGCAAGACTACATAATTCATTTTTGCAGGTTATAAAGTCTTGTCTGCTATAACCCTTAATTCAAAACCAACAGGTCCTCGAGGTAGAGACGCAAATTTCTGGGAACGCGTTCAGCTCTTCTCAGTCTAACGCCTCCCTATTCCGAAAGAATAACACAAAAACTATGGATACCACACTCTTGGGTAACTTTTCTAAGTTAACTGTCTACTTACTTAAGTAGCTTTCCTGCTTCCTTACTGCGGTAGATATCGCACTTAAAAAGTGGTTTAGTGTTGGGGTACTCCGGATCGAACTGGCCTGCCGCCTTGCACAACGCACTGTGAAGCTGGAACTGAAGTACAGTTCCCACGAAATGCCTGCAACACACAGATTATATCGAAAATTACAGTTATGAACCTGTCTTACAAGAAAGGTATAATTCCAATCAAAGCAATTAGTAGATATTATTATATTTCTCGACTTTTCCCATCGTCTAATATTCTGAAGAGAATAAGACGTTTTGGAAACTCGACGTGGTTATATCCTGAGGTGAAAATTGTCAACTTAGAAGGGGTTTGTTAGAAGGATATAACCTCAATTACAGGGCCAAATTATTGAAGTTCGTCCTTTCAGAAGAAACCGAGTAGGTACTCGCCTTGAAGACGGAAACTGATTGTTTTCAAAACGTTGTTCTTTTAAGTATATAGAAAGGTGGATAAATCGAGAAATCCAGCAATAATAATTTTGATATGCCACTTTTTGAGCTTAATTTAGAATTATCTCATCAAATCATATTCCCATGTTTCTAAGCAATTCCTCTAGGACTGAAAATTATTAGGCCTCTGAGCACAAGACTGAAGAATCATTTAAGATTTGATTTCTTGACGGCGGTGAGTCTGAAGACGGCTGTCTTCTGGGTTGTTGCACCATGTAGTCTGGTAGAAGTTTACCGACGTTTCAGAGGCTGATGAAGGAAGCAGCGAGGACTTCTAAAACATCGATGAACTTCTACCAGACAACACGGCGTAACAACCCAGAAGACAGCCGTCTTCGTGAGGAATCTTGCCAACTGATCAGAATCCACAAATTAAATACATCTCAATACTCACAGACCTCCTTGTTAGGATACAAGGCATCGATTCATCTGTGCTCCTGGTAGAAATAAAGGTGAATCTATGGAACCCAGGTCTGCAGAGAATACAGAATTGGAATTATAATTTTACAGTCTAGTACACCAACTACTTTTTATGGTTCGAAAGGAACCGTTTCCATCAGCGAGTTTATGTATAATAAAATCAGACAATATTTTAATAAAATCGATGTTAAAGACGGATAGAAACAGTCACGGGTAGGATTTTGTCGGCTGTTAACTGTTCTAAAAACAGTCATTTTATTAGTACCAACTTAACAAATATAAAGTAAGAACACTGTGGCTGCGCGAAATATATTTTTATGTTCATAAAGATTGGTGTATCACTGTAACCTGATAACAGGTATATGAAATCTTCAAGGTGCCGAATTTTAAAACACCCGCTACTAAGAAGTTAAAAAATCCATCATTAAAATATGTATGCTTTTGTTAAGTAATAATTAGATTAAGAACTGCTCAGAATTAAATAATGTCGCACGTACATAAGTAAGGATGTTACAGCCCTTCTGTCCGAATGCTGCAGCGAGAGTTGAACCCGGCCCCTATGTATGACGGTCCACATTTCTTAATCAATTAGGAGTTCCTGACGCTCTAGCGTGAGCAAAGAACACTTCATGGTTACGTCCGTGTCTTGTCTGGGTTTTTCTACGGGGATAGGGAACGTGCACGACCGGCATAATTGTTGAACAACAATGAGAAAGTCATTGAGGGAAAACATTGCTACTCAACGATTACCCAAATCAGTGGAAGAAATACTTAAGAAGAAAAAGTTAATTTGAGTCACAGTGTAAGAATGCTCTAGAAGAAAGAATGTCCTATTTGAAGTGACGTGAAGAACCCCTTTGTAATGTCGGTGTCCTTCCAAATTTGTAATTTATAACGGCTGTCAGCTGAAGACCGCTCAGTTACTCACGACAATGTGCCTGATTCTGAACTGATACTTCTAAGTTCGAATTTCGTAACTCGTATTTCTTGAAGTCCTCAGGCAAATGTGACGGTACTTTAAAAGAGGTCACTCCCCACTACAAATCACTTATATAATCTACACGCCATCAAAAACGTCGTCCGCAGATCTCAACAAATTTCGTGACCGACAGAATTAACATCTTGAAACGTTTCTTGTATAAGTTAAATACGTCCAGACCTAAATAATAACGGAATATTAATTACAGTCTACACATTTTCTCTCTTCTGGATCATCTGCCAAGAACGTATACGAGGTGCGATCGGAAAGTTTCAAGACTGCGCGTATAAAACCCCGTACACTTATCTCAGGTATTAAATTCATCCATCACCCTC